ATAGACAATATCCAACCATATAAGCCGAGTCCATGTCTTGTCAAAATCTCGTACGGTATTAAACTATATATCACGTATTATTACATGTCATAGAGTTTATTTGATTTATTAAATATTATACGGAGGTGCTCCAAACATCGTACCATCATTTGTCTATTAATAAAAAAAATACACAAACGCGTACGGTATTAAACTATATATCATGTATTATTACATGCCATAGAGTTTATTTGATTTATTAAATATTATACGGAGGTGCTCCAAACATCGTACCATCATTTGTCTATTAATAAAAAAAATACACAAACGTACAAGAAAGCTTAACATAACTAGGAGTATTTTAAAACAGAAAGTTAGCATTGCAAAAGGCTGTGCAATAACTCAAAATTTAGAGGGGGGATCCAAAAAACTTTTTGGTTGCACTTGCGCCCCCCAGGTGTTCCACCGAAACGTTTATCTATTCTAATCAAATATCAATCATGCTCGGCCTCTGAATTGACTTGTTAGCATGTGCATATTAAAGTATTTTTATTGACTCCTGTGGTGACTGCCCCCACGAGCGGAATGCATGTTGCGAACGACGAAGAAGATGCTATTACGTGCATCATTGTCATTATTATAATAATTCTAAGTTCAGGCTTCTTCTGCGTAACTCAAAGCAACGAAAAGCACAAGGGTTTTGACTCCCTGTTCTTTTCGTGTCGGTAGGTCAATCTGGAAAGAGCGAAATGCAAGAACATTTGGGGGGCCAAGCTTGCAGCCGATGCAACTGTTGTCCAAAGATCATGGACGCTCGCCGGGTACAGGAAGCTAAACGTACAGGAAGAGCGAAATACAGGCTGGTGGATAAATGATGGACGCGTTGGTGTGGTGACCGCGGCCCAGGAAAAAGAATGTAGAACCGGTCCACACCGCCGTGTAATTAATATGGTTGAACCACGTGCTTGGACATTAAAGAATAACAATAGTACTTTACTGATCACTTTTCCGTAGTATGCAGGACGGAATTCTAATCGAGTTGCTTCTGTCTTAGATAACATCGATATTCGATCATCATCGTCACTTCATCTGAGGACTAGCTAGCGACGGATACCCCGCGCACTTGGAAACGTTTCAGACAGCCACGACGTGCCAATGACATCCGGGTCCACCCGCCCACAGACACAAAAAGGCTGGTCGTCATTTGACCCTTGACCCGTGCATGCACATGCAGACGCAGGGGGGTGTGTGGAGAGATTAGTAGCAGGTGTACTCTACTCCTGTATGGATGCATGAAGCTAATTTTTAGTATTTTTTGTGTATAAGGTATAGTCATGGTCCATTTAAGCCGTCAAGCACTTCTCTCGTCCCAAAATACATTATTCTTCTAGCACTCAAAATTCGTCACTAGGATATGTGATTTTATATATATTAGCATTGGTCTCTCCAACACAACACGGTCAGTACTCAGTAGTAGTACAATAAGGAACCTTCTATGCTCCCAATTGACCGACTTGGCGACGTAGCATGAATTGTGTGCTGTGCATGGTCCCGGAAATTCTCATGTTGCAAACAAACAAACACGCTCACGCTTTCCCTCTTGAGAAACCGTGGCTTTGTATTTGGACTGATGATCAGCGCGTGACCCGTTGCCACTCGTTTTCCGGTTGCCACAACTGACCACAGCATTGTCCGAACGGCTCCTGCTGCACTGTTGCTCAGTCAACAGTCGTTGCTGTTGCCTCGTTGGGTTTGTTGATGGTGTAATTTGGCCAGAGAATATGTCATGATCGGCCAAATTATATATGTTATTGATGATAATTAATCTAAATTAGTTGACACATTGCTTAAGAGTTGTAACAGGGCCAAGGGCGTTCCATGCTGGAGTATACACATGAAGAGACAAGGAACATGCCAGATGACTAAAACGTATGAGGGTGTGCGGAGAGGATTTCTGTACGTAATTCACCGATAGAGGCTCGAACAATGTGTAATTCATGATGGAGGCTCGAGCAGTATTTGTGGTAAGAGGCCAAGATTAATTGTTTAATTAGCCGGATCAAGAAAGAGGAAGTTGTACTAGTATCGGACTCAGGATAATATCTACGTTTTGCATGGCCGATCAACTAGAGAATAGGAATATTATATTTGTTGTAAGCAAGCAAACAATACGTGGATAGTTGTCGTACATGTATAGGAATCCTACTCTGTTGCCGAAGACCGGGCATGCTCATTATATATCTATACTATAAAAGAGAGCGAAGGAATTGAAAAATAACTCTCACTGAAAAATTTCATACCCACCTTATTCGAGGACCCTCGGATGATTCATATCTTTAAATCTAACAGCAGATATTAATCTAATGGTGGGACCATGTATGTAAAAAAAGGTCTTACAATCGCGTCTTACGCGTTCCTGCCACGTAAAACCACTCTGTCGCCCTCCCTCGCCAAGTTTTTTTTCACCAAATAGTTCTCCAACCCGCTCCTCATACCCATGTCGCCCCTCCCGAGTCCCGACCACCCAGAATTGCTTTTCGCGGTTGTCCTATATTAAAGAATCAATAAAAAAATTGGTTTTTCCCTCACGTAATCCTCCTTTTCCTGTAGTCCTAAAATAAAACCTCACGTATACCGGGCCTCGGCACGGAGTCACGGACACGCAGCAGGAAGATCAGGAAGTCCACCTCCTTCCGGGCCTCCGCATACAGCATGTGCCGTGAACGCGGCCGGTGCCACCATCACATATGTAGCTGTCGACCAACCGTCGTGGACACCTTCAGCTCCCTGCCTGGCACATCAGAAGATTAGCAGCTTCATCTGCGGGTCCCCAGCGGCCGGTGCTGCCTTCACACCTGTAGCTGCCGACATGCCGTCGTGGACACCTTCAGCTCTCTACTTGACACATCAGAAGATTGATTAATGCATGTATACAATTAATTATTTTTGTGTTGATATGATCTAACAAAGATTGATTACAATCTAATAAAGATTGATTAATATAATATGCGATGCATGTTTATAAAAATTATTCTGACCTCTCTTTCAACTCCATGTTTCTAAAAAGTAATCTACTCTTTTCCGACTTGCAAGTTGCAACTAAACCTCAATTGCTTAAAAGTTTCTCAATTATTTATTTTTGTGTTGATAGGGTCTAATAAAGATTGATTACGATCAAATAAAGATTGCTTAATATAATCTGTGATGCATGTATGTTTTCAAAAAGTATTCTGACCTCTCTTTCAACTGTCTATTTCTAAAAAGTAATCTATTTTCTGACTTGTAAGTTGCAACTAAACCTCAATTGCTTAAAATTTTGTCGCTTGAGTCTATAATATATTTCCAGTTTATGCATTTTACTTTAAGTTTTTTGTTTCACCGTTGCTTTAAAATTCCTTGATTGCAGTGCTCCATATTAACAATATAAACAGGACAACCTAAACCTTGTTATGGCTTCAACCACAAGACAAGATGGTAATCTGACCATAACATCAGATGGCAATGTTCAAGGTGGTATGTTATTTAGTTTTTAAAAACAATCTGTTTGGATTATTTATTTCAAAATCAATTAACCTTTTTAATATTTGTTAGAGGATGAAGTCGGCTTGGAGAATAGAAATTCAATAAGATGTAAAAGGAAACGTGAAGCACAAGCTACTGATGTAATGTCTTGTGATAAAGATGTTGAAAGACAGGCTAGAAACCGAGAATATTAGCGTAACTATCGTGCACGGTTATGGGCTAAGGCTGATGGCAACCAAAAAGAACACCATGATCCTGGTGTGATAATAGCGAAGCAACCAGGTTCAATTTAAAATAATGTTACTACAAAAAAATGACAAGTTAGATTTAGGTGATGACTTCTAAAGTAAAATATTGCAGTACACACCTTTGCTTTTCAGATTTTTTTCACCTTTTCGGGGTCGCCAATGGGAGCTTCCTTTGATACCATAGCATCCTTTGACAACAAATGTAATGCTCTGGTTCAACATAACATCTTGCTTCAGTATTGGAAAATACTAACCATGGCAAAACATTAAACAAAACAAAGAAATTTACATTACAACCTGGATCTGTTTTATGTGATTTCCCCTTATGCTTTCCAGCAGGAAAAGTCTCGTTTGCCTCATCTTTTAAATCGGAGTCCTTCACTTGCATTGCACTGCTCACAAGCAAATAAAACAAATGACAGTCAGATCCACAATCTACTGAGTTTCAGCAGCAACAAACTGTTAGGAGAAGAGCCTCACTATTCTCCATTTGCAAACGTTCCTTCAGTGGAGCACTGATTCATTTCTAGCTTAACTCTGATTTTCCTACCAGGAACAGGAAATCCATTCTTTTGTTGAATAGCTCGATCAACATCTTGAACAGTTGCGCTGGCATATACGGGAACACATTACATTAAACAAACCATCGCTTAACAGTGTCAATAATGAATCAAAGTTTGTAGTCAGGATGACAAGAAAGTAGTCAATCAGTAACCGGACTGAACTACATTATCATTGCTATTTTCTGCAGTAATGAGATGTTCAGAGTGTTCACTCAAGTCCTGCTATGACAACGTCTTCCATTTTTTTGAAAATTGTAGATCCACCACTACAATTCTTATTTTAGAAAGCTAATTTGCTTACGAAGTTTGGAAAGGAAAATCATTTTTACAGATATTTCAGAAGCCCTTCTATATTTGCTGGAACTGAATGGTCTCTTATGATATTTAGTGTACCAACTATTGCTTAATGCTATTGTGTCATCTAAACTCAGAATAACTACAATAGTATTTTTATTCAACGGCACTACAAAAGTATTTTGCAAGCACTAAAAAGGAATACCTACAACATATTGGTGGTGGATTACAATTTTCAACTTTGAAGAACGATGCAAATGATAACTAAAAATATATAAGTACTAGAGTTTGGATGCTAATCATCTAAGTAACAAAGGAAAGTATAATGCAGTATGCCAACTGTCAATGTGAGATACTAAATCTTTCCCCATCCCTGGTCCCGCTGTAGATGATGATGAGGAAGATTACGACAGCCAATGAGTCTGAGCGACTGAACTTACCACGAAATAGAGCACGGCAAGGAGATGCGAGCTGCTGGAGCCACCACTGGACTCGCCGAGTAGGAGTCGAAGGCGCCCTTGTCGCCTCGCAGCCGAGGAGGGCCTGCCCTGGCGGCCTCCGGACGGCGCGACCAGCAACGGCAACCTGCCCGGCGGCGCGGCCCTGCCCCGGCAGCCAGAAGGCATCGTGGCCAGACCTGGCGCAGCCCTGCCCCGGCGTCGGACGGGCGGATCTACCAGCTCCAGCGGCCAGCCCAGACGGAGGTGCTTTGCCCGGCACAACTTCTTCCCCGGCGGCCAGCCCTGGGTGGCGCGGCCAGCCCCGAAGGCAGTGCTATGCACGGCTTGCATTCTTCCCCGACATCTACGGCAAGGAACCATGGCGGGTTGGAGGATTGGAGCTGGGGCGGAGTACGGAGAGGAGCTGGAGAGAAATGGGGAAGACAGTGAATTGTGATGCGCAGCTGTAGATAAATTGGACGCCGATAGGAGCAATTATGGAAGCTTGGGCCTTGGCCAGGTTAGCCTGTTCGCCGCTACCAGTGGGTCTGTGGGCTTTTGTCTAATTAGAATTAGAAAATAGAATATATATATATACATGTACAAAGTTGCTCAAAAAAAAACTAACGGCTTCCACTGAAAAAAAAATGTACACTAACGGCCAGGACATTAGAACTCGAAAAAAAACATTAAAGAAAAAAAAACATGAATGGTGTGTCTAATAATAAGTTACCTGAACGATATGGTATTCAACTCTAATGCCGCAACATACGTACACTATAAAAAATAATGAGGGATTTAAAATTATGAAAGTAAAAAAGAAAAAGAATTCATCAAGACAAAAATAAATTGGATACAAATACAAATGCTTCACAAAAAAATCCCATATATTGAAACGAAAAATCAAAAAAATAAATGAATTTATATACAACAAAATTTACAGATACAAGTATCAAAAGATGTTGGTTTCAAATAAACATAGAAATACTAGGGTAAGATGGTAACGGCGAGCAAGCTAGAAAATAGCAAATAAAAAATACAAATGTCTCATACTCACGTGCGTGTCGCACGTGCATGTTAACTAGTATATATATAATGGGTAAACGGCCAATTGTGATCTCTACACAATCGACACAAAACAAATCTATTATTATCGTTCTTTTACTTTTCTTCTACTTTTTCGCATCTAGGTTAGCAACCATGCTTTGCTAGTTTTCCGCAAACAAGCCGCGTGCTCTAGCGTCATCGGAGTATCATCCTTTGCTGTTCTTGCTCGTAAAGCAGCCGGTGATTTTTCGCCGTAATCGAAGAAGTTATCTCTTTTACTAGTTTGCTCAAAAACTAGTCGCGTGCCCTTCTACGAAAGTGAGGCAATCTATCGACTCCTTTGTTAGATTTTCTACGTCAACAGGGTTTCCTACAGTATTGCTAGTGCGGTGGTAGGCAGGCACAGTGCATGCGACACGGCGGCCTACTGTTGTCACATCCCAAACGATAGCGGATCTGGAAACAGACCGAGGGGACTAACAATCTCCTACAACTAAAAAGAACAAAGTGTGGATATTTTTTGGTACGACATTTGTTTTGGTTCGTCCGTCTGCCCACGCCTGCGATACCACGACATCTTAATTACTGATTGATCGTGCCATTCTCTTTGATTGAATATTGCCTGTCATGTGATAGAGGAATCACGATAAAATAGGAAGTATAAAATTATTGTGCTATCCATATACACATTGCATGTTTGTATGCACCAGCATACATGGCAACGAGCAAAAGGAAAGATAATTAACACAGAAGGAAAGAGAATTAAGAAAAAATGAACCTCTTTGTATTTCTGAGAACCTTGCCAAATCTGCCTACATTTAAATACTTCCTCTCTTTGCATTTACAAAAGGGACAGCTTTTTTCTCCTTTCATTTGGTTTCACGCTTACGTGTTCCATCGCCCTCACTTGCTGTTTCTTGCGTAAACCACAATTGATGTCATCTGTCTTCCATGGCTCAGCCTCCCAATCCCAAGAGAAGGTCCCTACCTCTCTCTGGCTGGAGATCCGGCCTGCCAGAGGATCTCCTCGAGTCCATCGGGCAGCGTCTCGCATCAGGCCACGACGCGGCATCCTTCCGATCCGCTTGCTCCCCATGGCGCGCCGCCGTCTCGTTCGCGACCTTTGGGCCGCTCCTGCTGCTCCCGTTCGACCCCGACTCAAACCGTGTCGGCTTCTACTGCGTCTCGGAGAAGAAGATCTTGTCCAAGACGCTACCTGACGTGCGCGACAAGGTGGCGTGCGGCTCCTCGTGTGGGTGGCTGGCGCTCATGGACGAGGCGGCGTCCGTAACGCTGCTGAATCCATTCGTCGGTGCCCGTGCCCCACGCGTTGAGCTCCCGCCAAGAGGGCGTAACACGTCGTGGTGGCATCCTCATCGAACGCTGCGTGTTCAGGGATCCACGACGGTGGGTCCTCCATCCCACCAACGGCCACGGGACGCGGATGCCGCAGCGCGAGCCATCAAGTTAAAAGACATGAGGGACGTGTTCTTCCGTGAGATCGTGCTCTCGGCGTCGCCGCGCCGCCGGCCATGAAAAGCGCGGGCTATGGCCATGCTTGGGTGCTCCACGGAGGTCGCGTTCTATCGGGTTGGAGTCGACGGCGCATGGACGCCTACTCGACACCAAACTAGAGTTCTCCGTGGGGTCCATCGCCCCTTCGCCAAGATAAGTTCTTGGCGATCGATCGACCTGGAGAAATCTCCATCTGCAGCAAAGAACGCCACCGGCGCTTACTCCAACACGACAGCTGCCGCCATCATTGCCGCCACCTGCGGGGCTCTACCACCGACTACTTGAATCAAACAAATGAGCTGCACATTATGGGTGCCATGGTGAGCACGTTCCACGAGACACGAGCTTCACCCCACAAAGTGCTGATCTACAAGTGCAACCTCCACGACCGTACGCCGGAGTGGTCCAGGGTGAAGGACATCGGTGATCAGACACTGTTTGTGTCTAAACATTTCAATGAAAGATTTAGTGGAACAAGTGTATCCAAGTACAAGGAGAACAAAATTACATGTCTGAGCCATTGTATGGGGATTCATACGACTTGGTCCATCGACTGGAGATCATTGATATTGCTACCGGCGCATCCGAAGTGAAGCCCGTCCAGAAAAAGATGCAGGGTTCCGAGGCTCTAGGTTGGATTCGACCCAATCTCTGGAAGCTCTGGAGTTTGTGAGCCTGCGACGCCGCGTACTCCGTGACTGTGTTAAATTCATAAACTTTGCTTTTTGGATTAAATGTCACTTTAACGTTGGTATTTAATTTAACAATATTGTTATCTTATCGTGCGATCCGTGTGTTTTTAGTATAAATTATTAGTTATCCCGTAGCAACGCACGGACACGCTACCTAGTACATCGTTAATAATAAAGGCTAGAAATCATACTAACCATAGACTATTAGATATAACAAATAATACTTAATTCAAAAGTGCTCAAACAAACAATACATCATTAATGATAGAAAGGTTCCGAATAAAAAGCTTCTGATAACTAAATGATTAAAAACGACTTCTTTTACCAACATAGAGAGAGTATGTCTTCACAAATACTCACCAACTTGGACCGTTACCACCAAATCTACATACAAAAATGCAAATGTGTCATAGTTCTTCAAAAAACAAGCTAATATTAGTTGGCTTTTCTAAGCCCCGGATCAGCAACGAAGTCACTCATATCAGGCTCAACGCGGGGTCTTTTTTACTCAACCCGACTCTCGTTAGTTACAATCTTTGGAGCATCTTTCTTAGCACAGTATCTTTCCATTCTAATCTATTATTATTATGCCCTACTATTACAAAGTGAGACAACCGAATCACTGAGTAGTCAAAACAAAACATTAGAACAGGCGAACAACATTCACCTCAGTGGCTCAGTCACAACAGAAGGCCCTGGAGCCTGGGCGGCTGGGCGTCTGGTCTGGCCCATGCCGACTGGGCGGCCTGGCGGCGGCCGTTTGTTTGTCTGGACCGCCACAACGTGTCACTGACATCAGGGCCCAGAGACAAAAAAAAACGTCATTTTGACCCTTGACCATTGCATGCACACCGAGTACTCCTGTCCATGATGAAGCTTCCCTGCTTCTGTGTGTGATTCCCTTCCCGGCCGGCCGGCAAAACGGGATCGATCGATATTTCAAACAGTCAATAGATATGACAAAAAGGTGTGCTTCTGTGAGTTCACTGCAAATAATACAGCATCAAGCGGAAAGGTCCGTAGAGATGACCTGGCCACCTGGGGGTCAGCGCGTCAACGACTGATGCTGACGCCGACACGAGTATGGATGGTCGGTCCTGCACGGCATGCTCGGCCTCTGATGCGTGGTCCCAGGAATTGCCCGTGTTAAACAAACACGCTCACGTCTTTCCGTTTTAAGAAAACCGTGGCTTTTATTTTGGACTTATGACCAACAACAGTGCACAATCACTATTTCGGCACGCGTGCACCGCTAACCGTAGCGGCGCACACGACGCCCCATGCGCCGGAATCGAAGAACAAGGGGGCGGGGGCAGTGGACGGGCGGTGGGCGGGGCGGCCATATCTGCGAGGTCTCCGTCGACGGGGGCGGTGGACGAAGGCAGCAGCGGCGGAGGTGGCGGTTAGGGTTAGGGTTGGCCGGCCGGTGAAGCTTTGAGAATCTCCCCGGCATAGATTTCGGCCAGCCGGCCTGGCGGCGGCCGCGACACGGCGGTGGTGGCGGGTTGGCCGGCGATGAGCAAGGCGGCAGCGGCGCCACTGAGCCGGGCGGGGTAGGCGGCGGGGGCAAGCAGCCGGCAAAGTTAGGGGAGGGCGGGCTCGTCCGGCGGGGGTGGTTGGTGGGCGTGGAGGTCGGCGGCGGCCTGGGCGGTGGTCGAGGAGGGTGGTGGGGCGGTGGTCGAGGAGGGAAGATGAACAGTAACACGCAGAGGAGGAAGCTGAGCGGGGCGGACACGTGTGCGCCGCTATTGGTCCTGGCGCGCGCTCGTTGAAGAGTCCGGACAATAGTGTGGCAGTGTTGTGACCCGGTACCACTCGTTTTCCGGTTGGCGCAACTGAACCATAGCATTGTCCGAACGGCTTCTGCACGCACTGTTCGCTCCGGTCCGGTCGTTGCCTGGTTGGGTTGCTAGTGCGGTGGTAGGCAAGACACCTAGCCGATTCTGCATGCATTCGGCATGTTCGTTGGTTGGTTTCTGGGTTGATAAACCCGGTGGTGCTGGTTTGTTGTGAGAGAGAAAACACTATTGGCTGGCTGATAAGCTCTGACTAAAATCAACGAGCGAACATGCTGATTGTCTGCTCGGTCGTCACGTCGCGAAAGTGAAGTGAAAACTCCATGGATGGATGGACGGACGGATGGATTGATGGATGGGCATTTGGGCAGGACGACTACGTATCTGCTTGAGTTCTTTTTGTTTATTATTACTTTTTTA